AATTCATGTTGCTGCTACTGTTACTTATGGACTAAGTTGATGGCGGGAAAAAGGGGTGAAGTGGGTGGGGACAATTTTACCCTTGTTTATGGAAAGAAAAAGGCATTTTTGTATTTAATTAACGAAAAAATTGACGGAATATGGACGGAAGGACGTCCAGCGCAAAGGTTGAAATGAGGGCAAAAATGCAAAAAAATGAAAGGTAGGGACGTTTTTCACAATAGACTTGAAAGGTAGGGACGTTTTGTGCCAATTACCCTTTAATTAACGGAAAAACTGACGAAATATGGACGGAAGGACGTCCAGCGCAAAGAAAGGTTGAAATGAGGACAAAAATGCCAAAAAATGAAAGGTATGGACGTTTTCCACAATAGACTTGAAAGGTAAGGACGTTTTGTGCCAATTACCCAAAAAAAAATTATTTAGTTGATGTTAACCTTTTAATTTTAGCCAAACATGCTTTTACATCTTCAAAAGTCTTATATGATTGGTTTTAAATGATATGTATTGACATATTAAATGCCAATATATTGTAGGTTACATTTTAAAGCTGATAAGAGAGAGAGAGAGAGAGAGAGAGAGAGAGAGAGTATTAAAAATTTGCACAAATATATCTAATTTGAGAAGAATGTACTACATAATTCGAAATATGTTCAAAAAATTTCAAAAACTGAACCTTACAAATCTAAAGGTAGCGGATAAAGATCATTACCACTTTGAAGTTGTCATAAGAGGAAATTTCGTGTATATGTTTTCGTATAGAGTAAAAATATATTACATTTGAGTTATTATATTTTTTATCGTAATTGTTTGGAGGTGCGAGTAAGTCCAAAATACAATCCAAAATGACCAATACACCCTTTGCTACATTCACTAATAAAGCCACACAAAACAGAAGGCAAGCCGTTGAAAGGGAAAACCTAACTTATAGGTCCCTATGTATTTGGTCCTTAACCTTCAAATTGCAGTTGAAAACTCTCTAATCTATTGGTTTCCATCCAAGCCTAGAAACGACCAAAACACAGCTTATTTTTTCATTTAATCTAAAACAAAAAGAAAAAGAAAAATTATAAAGAAAATAATAAAAGTAATTAGAGAACATCAAAATTGTTTCATCTTCTTCAATAATTCCTTCCGACCCTACCTCACTGACTTTTGGGCAATACCAATCTAAATGACAACTAGATGTCATTAAATGATAAATTCATTTGAATGTAAGATCAAACGATCAATGTTATTGGGTAAATCAAGTGTGATCATCTGGACCAGTGTTCTAGCACTACTGATACTAAATAGCATTATTCTTCTGTAATGTGATTTCAGGATATTTGGATTGATGCTTACTGGTTAATAGTCTTGATAAGAGGCCTGTATGGGCATATATCATTATGTGTGCGGCGGCTGGACTGCATTGCACCGCTCTACACGGTGGTGAAGCCAGAGCCCAGAGTGGTTGGGACTAGAGTTTGCTGCCTCCGTTTTTTGGTGAGAGAGGGTGGAGATTCTGGCCATGGATTTTTCTTCAAAATCCTTGCCCATAATCTATGGTGCTGGCAATGTACGTGAAGGGGAGGAGGGGATGACCGGAAGTAGAGTCAAGTGGATTTATTGGAAGAGAAGAAGAAACAATTTTGATGTTTTTCTAATTATATTATTCTTTTCTTTTAGTTTTGTTTTATATTAAATGGAAATAATTAAAGAGTTTGGTCGGTTTTACCCTTCTTATTTTGATCATATGATATGCGTGTGATAAAATAATGATTAATTGTAGACTTTGATGAAAACCGTCCAAAGGGACCGTTTGCGACAGCTGAGTGATAGGCAGGTGAAATATTCACCAAAATTTTAAGGTTAAGGACCATTGCACAGGGGACTATAATTTGGAGACTATTTGCATCAATTTCGAATCTAAATGACAGAGAGAAACATAAATAATGTGTGGGCCCTTCACTTCTCACGTTATGGCGTGCAAATTATAGCCTCCATCCTCTGAAGTGAATGAAACATTGGTTGTATGTATGACAACGGAACAGGTTAGGACGGCCATCCTATCCTTATCTCCTACCCTTCGAGAACTTTTAGGGGGTAGAGCAGGGATTAAATACCTCCATTTATTATCCCGTTTGATTATATTTATTTTTAAATTAATTTTTATTTATCAAACATGAATAAACAAAAAAAGATTGTGGAGGGTTCAAAGGATTTGCATAGGGATTCCCCAAAATATTTGAGGCTAAACCAAAAGGCCTTGCATATGCGAAGGACATATATAATAATAATAATATTAATAATAATAAAAAAAAAAAAAAAGTTGTTTAACTCCATTTATAGAGAAAAGTTTCGATAGGATGATCTTATATGCTTACATTGTAAGCTATTCACTCAAATAACTATGTGTGTCTTCTATCCTACTTTCTGTTAAGCTACATGGTCACATAACAACACAGGACAGTCGTATTAAATTTTATTTTACTTCATTTCTCTGTTACTTTTTACTGAATTAAATGATTAAATATTATGTCTATCTTATTTTCAATAAATTTTTATCTCAAAACTCCTGATTCTTATTTTTTTTCTCTCCTTCTACTCCTCTTTTTTGTGAACTTCCTCTTATTTATATTATTAGTATGTAGCCGAAAAATATTCTAATGAGTAAGACGAAATTTTGTGTATCAATGGCATCAATTCAGTGTTGTGTCATATTAAAATGCTACTAGCCATAGCCCAAGATTTATCTACCATGAAGAAAATTACCACAAAACAAGAATTGCTAAATTATCATGTCTCCACCAAAGATTCAATTGCAGGAAACTCTATGGATCTAAAAAACATGGGTTTTAGATTTCATTATGGTGATCAAAAAAGGAAAATGGAACCCCAAATTTTTATAACTTGGATATGAAAATAGAGAAATTCGAATTCATATTATTCATGAAAGTGAAAGTAACAAATGAATCAAACTCTAAGCCAATTACTGTAATCACAGTAATAATTATTCAAATAGATCTGTACTTTATGTTAGGTCTCGCCTTAATTCAACTTGCAAATGGAAAAAAACAATGGGGACACAAAAAATAAGGGAGTACAAATCCAACAATATGCAAAAGAAATAAGGGAAATACTATGAGATGTACACAATGGGTTACAACACCCCCCCCCCCGGCACATGGAGGGGGCCACATACAATAAAAAATAAATATCTAATTAAACAAGGATATAGTTTATGCCGTGTTTGTTTATTGTTTAAAAAAATATCCATTTCCTAATTAAAAAAGGTTAGTTTCCAGCTAAATATTAACAATTTTAATGAGTAGAGGGAAAATAGATAAAAGAGAAGAATAAAAGTAGGAGATGAGACGGGAGAGAGAGAAAAACGAATTACGAGTTTTTTTTAGATAATGACTATTAAAAATAAGAGATATGAAACATAAGAAAAAAATCAAGCCAAAATTAAGCCAAAAGCTTGCACCTCTTTATTTATTTAATTATTATTTTTCTGTCTGCTTATTTTTTAGGATTACATAAACTAACTAAGTAAAATATATAATTATTGATGTTCTTATTAAATTAATTTAAAATAATTAAATATTATTCTTATAAAATATTTTTTAATGGTCTTAGAATAATTTAGATAATATTAGAAATACATGGAGATGTGTTATTAAAAATTAGATTTTGCTTCAAGATATTGAAGATTGTGAGGCTTAAATCTTGATCTCATCATTTTGCCACACCTCGTGTGTTTTAAAACATTGTAAAAATTTAATTCCTTCGCGATTGAAACTCAATACGACTCAGCTCTAATGCAGCTATCTTAGCTAATCCAAGCCATATAGAAAAAGGAAATCATTTCCCTTAAAATTAATTAGGCCATTTTTACTCGAATATAGAGATTCCATTATTAGGTTAACTAATAATGAAAATTTGATTTAATTTCATTGGATAGAAACTACTTTTTAATGTGTTGGTTTTATATATAAGAGGTAAAAATGAACATCCGAATTCTTTGTTTTTACTTTTCGAAGTCATACGACATATATATACACTAGAGAGTTCTGTGATGTTAAAATTTGATAAGAATTGTGGATTTATGAAACTTGTGATTAAAAAAAAGGTAAAAGTTACCGAATTCAATGAAATGTATAGTTAAAAGTGAAGTTTGACCTACTTTTTAGAAAATAAAATTTTACCAAAAATGCACTTAAAATATATGGCATAACAATTGTAAATAGTTCGTCACTCTCTTCATGATTTTTTTATTTTTATTTTAAAGAACCACGTCCTTGACAATGAGGACAAAAGGGTAAAATGATAATTAGTATGTTGCCTTTCCTATTTTTCAAAAAATATATCAATACGATTAAATTAATCAAAAGTCTTAAAAGAAACCTCCATAATATTTTTTATTCATCATTGCACAACATTTTAATATGATTAGTGTGATGCAATACATTTACATAATAAAAATTAAATCCCTTTTCTTTAAAACAGAATGTGTGTGCGTGTGTGTCAAATTTCAAATAAAGATACAAGTCATTCACACTAATCATTTATAAACCCACCACAGCTTAGGATGTGATGTTGAAACTTTCAGTAGAGCGTATGATGTCGACCCAAGGTTGCACAATGTTATCATGACCCATGATAAACTTATATACCAATTAATTGATGTGTGTATATTTATATAACACATATTTGCATGGCTAATTAAAGCAGCTATAATTTTAGGTTAAACACAAAATACCAAGCCTCATGCCAAACCCTATATAAACACATAAAAACTTGAGGTGACGTCGTGTATAGCTTAACCCCCAAAATTCCCATGCAAGTAGAATTTTGACAGCTCAAAGCAAAATGTCAAACTCCATTAATGGTCAATTTCCGGAATTCCGTACTTTCTGTGCCTATATAATCTGCTCGAAAATAATGAATTAATCACTTCTCATAGTTATAAGAAGCTTACAATCTTGAATTACCAAGAACGTCACTTGACTTCAAGAATGGCACTTATAACAGCTGCTCACCTGGCTTTCACTTTCGGCATTCTTGGTATCTTTATATATATAATAAATTCTTCTATATCAGATCTGTATCTGTTAATTTATTATTATTATTATTATTATTATTATTATTTTTTTTTTTTTGGCAGGAAACGTCGTGTCGTTCATGGTGTACATGGCACCAGTGTAAGAGCTTGATTTCTAATTATTTCTTGTTAATTTTAACACTTCCGAAAAAATGCAGCTACAACAATGAATACCCATCAATGGACGATTTCTGGCCTACAGTTTACGTGTTTTTTTTCTTGGATTTCAGGCCTACATTTTACAAGATTTATAAGAGAAAATCGTCTGAAGGATTTCACTCAATTCCTTATTCAGTTGCTTTATTTAGTGCAATGTTGTATTTGTATTATGCTTATCTGAAGAAGAATGTGATCTTGCTTATAACCATAAACAGCTTTGGATGTGTCATGGAAGTAGGTTTTCTGATCATCTTCCTGGTATATGCAACCTATGAATCAAAGGTTATTCTTATCCTTAATTTTATCAAAATTTGGAGTCAGCACGTGAATCCATTTAGGGCACTCCTGAAATTTGATGCTAGTTTTGCTATTTCACTTCATTCAACTAAACAAAACATTACATTTTGCAAATCTAAAGTAGGATATAATTCTTCTTAATTTTACCTCTCCATCCAATTCATACAATTGTACTTTGATGCCATTTTTGCTCTTTCAATCAAGAGAAACTAAAACCTGCTTTCAATGAATTTGGAGCCGAGACATGAATCCTTTTCTAGCACTTATCCAAAACATTAAAATGAAAATTGATCTTATTTATTGCTCTTTCACTTCAAGAATCACAAATTAGGTCTTATTCCCAAGAAATTCAGAGTCTAGACACGAATCTCCCCATTCCACTCAAACTTTTTTTTTCCCCCGCAGATTTATACCGCAAAGATTCTCTTCCTATTCAACATAGTAGCAATGGGATTGGTCGTTGGATGCACATATTCTCTATCAAAAGGGCAGAAGAGAGTTACAATCGTTGGATGGATATGTTCGGTTTTTTCTCTCTGTGTTTTTGTTGCTCCTCTTAGTATTATGGTAATTAATTTTCATTGTCCCTTAATTTAAAATTACTAAAGTTTACAAAATATTTAACGAAATTTCAATAATTTTTTTTGTTTAATATTCCAGAGGCGAGTGATAAAGACAAAGAGTGTTGAATACATGCCACTTACTCTCTCATTATTTCTCACACTATCTGCTGCCATATGGTTCTTCTATGGTCTTTTCATCAAGGATTTCTACATAGCTGTGAGTGCATTATAAGACTCTTCAAATTCATATATTTTAAATTCTCATTTTTTTCTAATTAAAACCCTGATACTGATAAATTTCTCAGCAATAATCTTTTTTCTTCTTTGTATTATATATAAACACAGGCTCCAAATGTTGTTGGATTTTTATTTGGAATGGTGCAGATTATTTTATATTTAATCTACAAGGACAAAAAACAGCAAAATATTCTACCATAAAATAAGCTGCGTGATATATCAACTGACGGAGACCGGAATTCACGAGATCACATGCAGAACACGTCAACGGTGGAGATTGCAGATGTAATTGACCACAATCATGGACAAGCCCACAGAGGAACAAACTAGGAGCCAAATGAACCTAGCATCACAGAATTTTCTGCAGCAAGTGACACCATTTTGTGATACTCATGATATCATTTTACATATACTTATATATAGTCGTATAGTCACAACTTATTCTATAAAAAATAAGTATGCAAAAATAAGATGCTGACTCTGGTCGACTATAATTATGGGTTGACATGTTGAGGAGAAAGTGATAGCATAATATTTGACTTATAATGATAGGTTGACATTAAGAAGTTCTCTGTCGAAATGTGACAGAAAACTTAATTTTATTTTAATTATGGAACCACACTACTTAGTGTGGACAAGTTTCTAGTGAACTATTTTCTTTATTTTAGGAAATAGTATGTCTTAATAGACACGTTTAAGATATGAAATATTATTGACCTGAAATATTTGTCCTAACAGTGAGATGACATTTTATTTATTTTAAATTCTATAATTAATTGTGTAGGCATTCTCAACTTTCAATACCAACACTATCACATTTGTAAAAGTTGGCCATATTTAAAAGGGAAAATATATATATATATATATATATATATTCAACTATCTAGTACACGGACAGACTCAAACTCGAAAGTACTCCTTTTTTACTTTAATAAATAAAGCGTTATATAATAATGAACACAAAGTTCGATAAGTATGAACATAAGCAACTCAATATTGGCTCTGAACCCATCTATTGTGTACTCTACACTAAAAATAAATTAATTACATAACCATCATGCATGATCATATATGATATTTATACGTGATAAACCGATCATATGTAACCATCACATATGATCTTATATGATGTGTGAGTCACCACATAAGTAAAGCTCACACTAATGTCAACACAATATGATCCGATTAATAAATTAGTATTTTATTATACCATTGAGTGTTCGATTGTGGGTGCATACATATACCAAAATGATTTATTAAGTACCACGTTTAGTTTATGTCAAGCAACTGTGATATTAAATGATGAATAAGTTTATGCTTAGTCCTAGCTAGGAATTAAAATTGGTTTGTCGAATTGATGTGTTATAGGATCACTACTGCTTAGCATGTGCTAACAAGATTGCTACTCGAGGTTATCAAGTGAGTTTCCATACGGATTCAAATACCACAGTATTTAGCTCGATTCCGCTTAGTATCACAAATGAATCATGTAGATATAGGTATTCATGTTTCGCATTAAGGTTAAATGCAAATACTTACCTCGTACAATTGGATATGTGTTAAAAAACCTGTATAATCAACTACTTGAAAAGTTGGATATAACTACATTACCTAATAGGGGGAACTGCGAGGTCAAGCATGGCTAAAACTAACAAAAATGGGTTGCATGTGGGTGGCTGCAACAGAGAACCAACACGCATAATATATAAAGGAACTAGAGTGTCAAGATTGATATATAAATCTAGTGATGGCAAAAAATCCATCATGTCCTATCCCGCCCCAAACCTGCCCAATGAAGAGAAAAAAATAATAAAAATAAAATTTTATTTCTAAACAATTCATCCGTTGAAAACTCATTTTGAATTTGTATTTTATTATCTAATAATAGCATAACTCAAAATTTTGAAAATGTAAAAATGTAAAAAATTAAACGGCGCAAAAGCTGCCTCGCCCTTGTTTTTCAAATTGTCTAGTTTTTCAAATTTCTGCCAGATTTGTTTTGTCATTTTCGGTTTAACCACTTACCTATTGGACAAAACAAGAACACCACCGGACTCTACAGACCGAGGCGCACCTGGGTAGCTAGCACGTGATTGGAGCAACGACGCTTGGTAGCTGGCACGCGGGACTCCACCGTGGGCATGTGGGGCCTCCTCCTCTGACGATCAATGCGGACAATTTCCTTCGGACAACAAGACGGACCTTGCGTGGTGTTCGTTTTCAGTTTTAGGTGTTGCTATGAAACTTGGATGATTTTGTCCTTGCGTCTTTGGGATTCATTTTTTACTCAATTGGTTGTTACAATTACTGGTAACTTTAGGATAAATAGTGACAATCCTAAAGTAACATATTTGCGTTTTTCGTAATTTACGGACTCCAATTAGTCCGCTTCGGTAAATTAGCTTATCTCAATTTAAATTTTAGCATTAGCGCATCATCATATGTGGTGAGAATAGGATTGGGGTTACTGTGAAGGGGTAACCACTGCTTGTGCTAGAAATTTAGGAATGATTTACTTTGTTTGAAGTGTTGAATTTAACTGCAAGTTAATAATTGCTCATGTGTAATTGTCTCTATTACTTAAGAATTTGAAATTTTTTGTTAACATACGTATTGCATTGATTATTATGTTAGAACACCTGGACTTGACATGTTCGAATATTCTCTTGATCTAAGATCACAAATCTTACGAAAACTTGGGAATTTAGAACGTTGTATACTATGGCCTTAGGATTACTTTGTGTGATATATTTGTGCATTTGGTGGTTCGGTTTTCTCAAAATGTCTTCTCATTTCGAAGTTGGAATTTTCCAATTTGGCAACAAAAGATTAAGGAAATTTCGGTTCAACAAAAAGTTTCAAAAGTCATAGATGACATTTCCTGTAAACTCGACATAATCACAAAAAAAAAAGTACGATGAACTTGCTTACACTTCAATCATTTTACACCTATCTGACACTATTTTCAGAAAAATTGAAAAACTTGATTCTACAAAAGAACTTTGACAAAACTTTGAGGACTTATATTTGCTTAAGTCCATTCTTGATAAGTTGTACCAGCTTGAACGATTTTTTTAGTTTTAAAATGAAACATTCAAAAGATCTTGATGACAATTTGGACATTTTTAATAAACTTGTTTAAGACCTCGTTAACTGTGATAAAAAGGTGTCTGAAACATATAGAGCAATTATTTTGCTTAATTCCATGTCTGACTCATACAAAAAGGTTAATGCAATTAAGAATGGTGGGGACACCTTAATACCCGAGATTGTCATAAACTCCCTTAAAAATAAAGAGATAGAGATTAAGGCTGAAAAAAATAAGAGGAATAGTGAGTTACATATGATGACTAGTAGGATGAAGTTTAAGCAAATGAATTTGAGTAAAGTTCAAAACAATAGTGATTTGAATACTGATGAGGATAGTAAGAAGAAGGGTAAGAGACGGGATAAGTCTAGAGGTAGGCAATGTTACAATTGTGGTAAGTTTAGACACTTTATTAAAGACTATCCAAAAAAAGAAGGATAAGATGAGATTTGAGGCAAATATGGCTATAGGGTCGAGTAATGACCCTAGTAAGATTTATTGAGAGTAAACCTAATTACTACATGTGTATCTATGTGTAATCATTTCTGCATGTGTGTGATTGCTTAATATTGTTGCATGATTATATGCTGCCTTTCAATGTGTTTGATATGTGCGTTCGCATGAATTTGAGATAATATGATTACTTGGTGTAATTGTTTGCATGCATAGCGGGTTAGAATGCATTAGCAATGTGTTGTATGTCTTTTGGTAAGGTAGAGTATAGAGACCTAAGGGTACATTGTGGTTTGTACCGGAGGTGTGAAGTGTGGTATTTGGATCACGAGTGGAGAAGTGATTAAACATTTAAAATCCTTTATATGTAAAGAGACCCTAATCAGATGTGGCTTTGTGGCTTGCAATCACCACCATAGCCTTGTCCCTTTGTGAGTGACAAAGAAGGAATGCAACCATAAATGAATAGAGATGTGGGTTGGAGTTTTTGTTGGTTGGTTGATATTGATTGGTAAGTTTAATATGAGCCCGGAATCCATCAATTGAAGATCAATTCCACTACAGTTTCAAAAGTTATAAAAAATAATAATGAATAGACGACTTTGGTATTAATTTTTTTTTTTTTTCATTGTAAAAAAATTATGCTATATAGATTAATATGATATTATTTTTGCACTTTGGTAAAACAAACTTGAAATGAACTCATAATTGTTTTTTATCAATATATTTTTTTATTTTGTTGTTTTTCTAATGAATTTTCATTTGTTTCCAATGCTAAGCCTTTTCACCGCCAAGATTTGAAATATTTAAGTAGGTGTTATCGCTTAGATTTTATTTATTTTTAAAAGTATATTAAAATTTAAGTGTTCTCAACTCATATTTTAAGAAGATTTTATTAAAATTTAGGTGTCCAAACTCAAAATTTAATATGTTCCATAAAATTAAGGGGGTGTTTATTTTAGTATTTTCAAATTATTTTCAATTTTCAATTTTATAAAATACCTAAAACTTGTTTAATTTTGTATTACTGAAAATACGTTTTTGAAAATAAAATTAAATTTATACTATAAAACACAAAATATGGGATAAAATTAGGGAAAGGGCCCTTGTAAATGTCAGCCCCCAACCAATCACAGGGGCCAGCTCTGCCCCCTGTATATAGGGGCCCTGTACTAGCAGCAGGGCCCATAAAATGAATCAAATTCCTCATTCTTTGATTTCGAAGATGATGTAAATTCATGGAAGAAAGATAGCTAGAAGTCAAAAACTTGAGCAGGGTGCATGTAGTTGTAAAAAATGATGACGACTACTCAACGACTCATTCATTATTCAATTTTGTATTACTGAAAATACGTTTTTGAAAATAAAATTAAATTTATACTATAAAACACAAAATATGGGATAAAATTAGGGAAAGGGCCCTTGTAAATGTCAGCCCCCAACCAATCACAGGGGCCAGCTCTGCCCCCTGTATATAGGGGCCCTGTACTAGCAGCAGGGCCCATAAAATGAATCAAATTCCTCATTCTTTGATTTCGAAGATGATGTAAATTCATGGAAGAAAGATAGCTAGAAGTCAAAAACTTGAGCAGGGTGCATGTAGTTGTAAAAAATGATGACGACTACTCAACGACTCATTCATTATTCAATAAGTTTATTTTATTGTTGTAATTACTCAACTTTATTTATTTCTATTATCAGTATTTAAGCCTATAATATTTGCCTACTTGCTATTGCAATCTTATTATTCACAGTCACATTCTAAATTCTCAATTCATATGATTAAAATTTTATTTCTTTATATCCTATTTTTTGTCAATTCAATTTATTATTTTTGTAGCAAATTATTTTTGTAAGATTCATCAACTTTAAAATTTATATATTACTTGATAATATATTAACATAAATTTGTTCTATTTTATTCAATAATCAAATTCTTTGAATAAAATGTTATAAAAGATTATCTAAATGTTCCAAACCAAAGGTCTTTTTTCTGTTTTCTATTTAGAGAAACAATTTTTTAGAATGATAAATCAAAGGGAAAATTGCAGCTAAGGTACAAAACAT